GCCCCTCCCCCGTTCATGCTCTGTCTCTCTCTGTCCCAAAAATAAAATAAACGTTGAAAAAAAAAATTAAAAAAAAATAAAAATAAAATAAATTTAGAGATTGGGGAAAAAATGTATTAAGTACATTATGTGAACACTTATGGAAGTAACGGACTGCTTGAATATATACATACAACCTATGTTTACCAACTTTGCAGATGCCCTCTGCATGCATAGAAAAGTCTGGAGGAAGATACGCCGAAAAGAGTCTCAAGATTGTTTAGAGTGAAAACATGGGGACTGCTTTCCTTTTTCTTTCACTTTATTTTTCTCCGGCAGAAATTAAACAAGGAAAGGTAAAAAACCCCACGGTCCTTTCTTGTGTTAAAAGGTAGACTCAATAGGAAGCAAGGTTGGTGAAGGTGGACGGGGGCCTGCAGCCACACGTGTCCAGAAAGCCTTACGGTCCCTCGCGGCTTTCGCATGGGGCGCGGGGTGGGGACAGAGTTCGGCGTCTCTGAAGTCAGGAGATTTCTCCCCCACCCGGGGGGCGCAGATGCCCACTCAGTCGGTCGACTGAGAGTAGAGCCGCTGCGTTTCCCACATCCCACCCAGGGGCTGGGAGCACGGCGGAGAGGAGACAGTCACCGTCTCCTGGGGGAAGGGGACTGGGGGATAAGCTGAGGGCCAAGAGAAAGAAAAGAGAACAGAGAGCTGGGCAGCGGGGAGGTCTCAGGGGCGGGGCAGGCGAGGAGGGAGGGGAAGATGTGGATGGAGCACGCGCTCCCTGGAGAGCTCCGTGTGCCCCCATCCCCAGCCGGGGCACCTAACCCTGTGCTCCCCGAGCAGTTCTGCCCCGTCCGGCTCCGGACCTTCCCCGTGCGTGTCTGCACCCGGATTCCCGCCAGCAGGGCCTCCCAGGGCCTCACCACCCGCCTGGCTGTCACAGCCGTGCGTCCTCAGTCAGAGAGGCACGGATCACACCTCTGGTCAAACTGGACAAGCGAGAGGGGGACTTGGGATTTAAATCTGAACTGGGCACAGCACGGCGGGTTCTGTGGACGACGGCAGACAGAGAAGGGCACGTGGTAGGGACGGCCACATGGCACCCAGCAGAGGGAGGGGCGCGGGGCTGTCCCAAGGCCAGCTGGGCTCCTCAGGTGCCGCCCCTGTGAGGTAGGGGTGCTGGGGAGACATCTCTATGGCCTGCCAGCGCCGACCTCGTCGCCCCCTGGCGGAAAAACTCAGTGTCTCAGGCTCATGTGGAAGGAAAGGGGTCACGTGGCCAGAGCAGGTGTGTGTGTGTGTGTGTGTGTGTGTGTGTGTGTGTGTGTGTAAATGCAGAATGCAGAAGCTGGGTAGATGCTCCATAGATGGCTGTCGCTTTGCTCACCAGCCCCCTTCGACCCAAGGGAGCTTTCTTTCCATATTGTGTGCCAAGAATGTCAGTGAGGGAACCGGCCCTGGGCAGGGGCTCCCTCACCTTCTGAAATTGTTATGCCCGCCCAGCATCCTCTCCCTTGTGCGGATTTGTTATTTTAAGACAAACACAGATCAGGGGCGCCTGGGTGGCTCAGTCGGTTAAGCTTCGATTTCGGCTCAGGTCACGATCTCACGGCTTGTGAGTTCGAGCCCCGCGTCGGGCTCTGTGCAGACAGCTCGGAGCCTGGAGCCCGCTTCCGATTCTGTGTCTCCTTCTCTCTCTGCCCCTCCCCAACTTGTGTTCCGTCTCTCTGTCTCTCAAAAATAAATACACATTAAAAAAAAAGACACATGCAGGTTAAACCAGCTGTAGCTCTAGGGGGATTTCGGACGCTGCCAATGCAAAGTTGGTGACTCCCTTCCCCACTCCAGGTGGGACTTGCCAGGGTGGAGTCTTGGGATGGAAGGGCCACTGCTCACGGTCGAGTAGTGGGTCCATTTGACAAGTACCTGCAAGATGCTAACCGTTATGTTCCTGTTTGTTGCAGCCCCAGCCCCTAAAAGGCAGAAATGTGACCACTGGACCCCGTGCCCCTCGGACACCTACGCCTACCGCCTGCTCAGCGGGGGCGGCAGGGACAAGTATGCCAAAATCTGCTTTGAAGACGAGCTGTGAGTACCCGTGATGAGGACACCCACATGATGCCTTCCCTTCCCCGGGGCCAGCCCCGCGGCATGCGTGCCCTCAGAGGGAAAGGCAAAGGCTGGGAGTCCAAGCGGGAATGGGGGCGACAGCTGCTGTGTCCCGTGGTGGGGGGTGTCCCCGCCTTGAGCTCTTATTTGCCTGCGGGTGGGACAGCGCCGAGCTTCCATGTTGTGCCCTGCTTCGAACACGTGGCACAGCCCTCCAAAGCCATAGACATGCCAGAATTCAGCAGATGCCATCTTGCTTTCCTTCTTTAAAAACATTTTTTCTTACTGCTTATTTATTTTTGAGAGAGACAGACAGAGCGTGAGCAGGGAAGGGGCAGAGGGAGAGGGAGACACAGAATCCGAAGCAGGCTCCGGGCTCCGAGCCATCAGCACAGAGCCCGACGCGGGGCTCGAACTCACGGACTGTGAGATCGTGACCTGAGCCGAAGTCAACCGATTGAGCCACCCTTTTGTTTTTATGGCCCTCACCCTCATGGGTTAAAGTAGATGTTGTTTCTCCTGGCAGCCCACACCTCCTCCTTCCTGACGGCCTGACCCACGATAGCTTAAATAAATCTCGGCACTTAGAACTGCCCTGGCCTAGTGTTTGCCTCTGCCCGGGTGGCCCTACCAAAGCACCGCGGACCGGATGCTTAAACAACAGCCATTTATTCATTCTCTCACAGTCCTGGAGGCTGGTCGCCCAAGGTCAAGGTGTGGGCAAGGCTGGTTCCCTCTGTGAGGGGGAGTCTGTCCCAACCTCTCTCCTGGGCTTGCAAAGAGCTGTCTTCTCTGTGTGTGTGTGTGTGTGTGTGTGTCTGTGTCCTAATCCCCCCCCTTTAAAAAGGACACCAGTCATATGAAGTAGGACCACCCTAATGGCCTCATGTTAACTTAGTCACCTCTTGAAAGGCCCTTCCTCCAAAGAAGGTCACGTTCTGGGGTACAGAGAGCTAGGACATCAGCATGTGGATTTTGAGAGGCCACAGCGCAATCCGTAACACCTAGCTTAAGGATGCTTAGGCCATGAATAGTTACTACAAAGGAGAGAGAGCGTGGGCTTTCCCCAACACGGAGGAGGAAGTCTTTCCCAATCATCCACCCTTTTCCCAAAACTGGGCTCGCCTTCCTTTCTCGTTGCTGGCTGGTTCATTGCGAGAGAAGCACGTCCCTCTCCAATTTTTAATTCGTCATCTCTGCACTTAGCTCATCCTCCCAAGGAGCGTAGCACGCCAGGGCATGAGCCGTAGACTCGGCACCCCCCACCCCCCCTTGCCTGGTCTCAGCACATTCCCCATTCCGTACGGGGACTGGATAGAAAGCACACTGCCTTTTGGGGGTCCCTCACTCACCCAAGGCCCGCTTTACTCAGCCCCAGGGGGCTTATCGATAAACATTCCTTCACACAAACCCCCCCGGGTGGGGCACTCGGTGGCAGAATAGTGACAGTAAACATGGCTCTTGTGCTCAAGGAGCTGATGTCACAGTTCAGGGTTCTCCACCTCAACACCGCTGACCCTGTGGACCAATGACCTTGTCTGTGGCGTGGGTTCAGTAGCATCCCAGACATCCAGCTGCTGGATACCATAGGCTACCCCGTCCAGCTGTGACAGCCATACGTGTCTCTATACACGGCCGCATGTCTCCTGGGGGCCAAGCCCCTCCTTCCCCACCAAGAACTGTTATACTTGGGAGAGAACAGATTTTTCAGTCTTCCGTGGTGAAGGCGACATGGTGATTTTGTGGGTGGTTGTGGAATATTCCAGAAGCAAATGTACCATTGAATGGGATTGCCAGAGAGGTCCATGGAGGAGACAAGGTGGGGATTCGGCTTGAAAACTGAGCAGGAGCCTGTGGTAGAGAAGAGAGGAGGGGCACCTGGGGGGGGCTCGGTCCATTGAGCGTCCAGCTCTTGATTTCAGCTCAGGTCATGATCTCACGGCTCGTGAGTTCGAGCCCCACGTCAGGCTCTGCGCTGACAGCGTGGAGCCTGCTTGGGATTCTCTGTCTCCCTCTCTCTCCACCCCTTCCCTGCACTCTCTTTCTCTCAAAACTAAAGGAGTAAACTTAAAAAAAAAGAAGAAGAGGGAGACCTGGGAGGGGTAGGGACAGTGGGATAGGGATGCTCACCCAGAATCACGTCACCAGAAGGGAATTGTTCCAAATTAGACCCAGAGCACCGGGTTCCCACTGGTCCACACTGCCTGAAGCCTTCCCCTGACCATGGTCCCAAAACAACGGCTTCATGCCAACCTAGGACACACTAATGCACGTATGTGTTAACTTCAGGCGACTTCCTGTGAGGTGTCCCGTCTGTCATCCCCATGGCACAGTCAAGGGGACCGACTCACAGATTCAGCAGCCTGCCCCTCGTCACTCAGAGCTCATGGCAGAGCCAGGATTCTGCCCTGGAGTCCAGGGTGTGCTGGGTAGACTGGCTTGAGTCCAGTAGTCTAACGGAACAACTCACGATATGAATAGGCGGGACCCAAATGTAGCTCACCTGCTTTCAAACAGTATTCCAGATGGTTTTCAGAACACGGCGTGGTGCAAAGCAGGATAGACTCAGATAAAAGCAGGTTAAAAGGGACAGGGGAGTAAACCCAGGCAGAGGCCTACGGAGCGTCACTTGCCGGGCATAGCGTTGTGGTTTTTTTGCAGTCGACTCACGGAGCAAGAGTGCTGGGTTGTGGTGATCATCATATGAAGAAAAAATCCAATTTATGTAGAAGGACAAGGCGGCTCTCTGCTGCTCGTTTCCTTAGTGCCACCAGCCCTTACTGGGCACCGCAGCCGTGCCGGCCCCAGGGACAGCAGTTTCTATCTCTCAGCAGCCTCTTTCCTTACTTCCCATCTCTAATGGCAGCCTCAGACTGGCCCTACTGAGTGGGCCGGCCACTCAGTAGGTGAGCGGTCCCCCCACACCGCCCATTGCTGTCTTCCTCCACACCGTGGTCCTGACCCACGCCTTTTAGCGTGATCAAACCCCAGCATTTGCATCAGTAAGACCGTCAAGAGAAAATCCAAAGGACTTTTCCTTGATATGAGTGTGTTACTGAGTGGGAAACGGTTGGAGAACAGGAGACCTCCCAACCGACCATGGTTGGAAGGCCCAGGCCTCAGTAGTCGCAGCGGCGTTTACGAGGCAGGCGTGAGTTAGTGCATTGTTGTCCAGGGTCACTGTCACTGGAGACGGCCATGCCTTCCGGAGGCATGACCTTACTTGTTCGCAGCTGAAAAGTCACCCGGATGTGGGGAAAGGTCACATTTTAAGGTCAGAGTCAGTGTCTCCGTGTCAAGTTTTGGTTACGTGACTGTGATGGTTGATCTAGGGATATATTCAAATGGTGGCCTCCAGGTTTTTTTGCCTTTTTTTTTTTTTAATATTTATTTATTTTTGAGAGAGAGAGAGAGAGCATAAGTAGAGGAGGGGCAGAGAGAGAGGGAGACAGAGGATCTGAAGCAGGCTCTGTGCTGATGGCAGAGAGCCTGACGCGGGGCTTGAACTCACGAACGGTGAGATCACGACCTGAGCCGAAGTCAGATGCTCAACCGACTGAGCCACCCGGGACTCTCTGTTTGTTTTTTTTTAAACACGGCTAAGTGAAGGTTCTTCATGGCTGAATCACATCGTGTACAACCATCGTGTCTCCTTGTCTTTTTGTTGGTTGTCAGCTTGCTTGGTTTTCTGTTACTTACATCAGTTTAATCCCAAAATGTTCTTCTAGTTAAAAAACCAATCTAATGTCCCATCAGATATCCACCAAGTTCCTCTTCTGGAGCCTTCCGACCCACTTGGGTCAGCCAGGTTGCTCTTGGGTCACCGTGCAGCTGCCGTCTGGCACCCCCATCCACCGTCATCCTGGGACGGCCTTGTCTCCCTCTCTGAAATTTTAACTCCTTTTTCTAAGATATGGCACCTTCCACTTTCCTGGTCCCCTCCTGTGTTTTGCTGAAGGCGGGCTGGGCAACCAGACACCACCTGGATAGCAAACCCAACCAGATATGGAGGGTGATCAGCTATCAAAGGGAGGGGGACCCAGATAAACTGACTTAGCAGAGTTCTTCTAAAATTGGACAATGCAGACATGAGCACAACGTTCGAAGTCAGGCCTAGTTAAAAAAGGAGCTCAGGGGAGAGTTTGGTGAAGGAGAAAATCCGTGTGAGCAGAGGGGCACCAGGCAAACCCACTCCTGGGAGAGTCAGGCTCTGCCGATGGCCGGCTTGGGTTCCAGATGCCCCAGTGGCCTTGCTGAACCCTCCAGAGACTGCAAGGCTCCGTCCCCCTGTCTTTGGCTTAGGGTCAGACTCGTATTGCGGTCTGATGGCTCTCCCCCCTTAACTCAGCCCCTTCCCCCTCTCCTCTTGTAGGCAGTTCCCCTGATACAAATTCTTGTGCATTTTATCCTGTTCGGATAGCTGCTTCTCAGAGGATTCAGATTAGCACAGTGAGAATGACCGTTCCCCCATGGTCTGTCCAGCCCAGCATGTTGACAGAGACTTTGATCTCTGCCTCTCTGGGAGATAGAAATTGAAGTCTCAGATGAGATGTTTACTTTCATTGCTTTTGCCATGAGTGAATTGAGGATCTTTTAAGCTAAGAGCCTTTGTGTTGATTTTCTGTAAACTGTCTGTTCGTATCTCTTGCCCATTTTCACCTCTGTCACTGACCTTTTTATTGGTTTACAAGATTCTTTACCTATTAAAGTAGTCTTTTTTGTGTGTTTGTAAAAAATCTTCTCCGTATTTTATCTGTTCACTTATTAAAATGCTATTTTTAAAATATATGACCTTTAACAAAGCCAGAAACACTGTATGGGGTGCCTGCGTGGCTCAGTCGGTTGAGCGTCCAACTTCGGCTCAGGTCATGACCTCGTGGTTCGTGGATTTGAGCCCCGTATCGGGTTCTGTGTTAATAGCTCAGACCCGAGAGCCTGCTTCGGATTCTGTGTCTCCCTCTCTTTCTCGGCCCCACCCG